GACAGTCAGATTTTATTATGGTTGCTATATCAGAAGGCAAAATATGGAACTGAGAATCCTATATGCAGCTATTACAGGGTAACCCCCATGAGGGACTTTATTTAAGGAGACAACAAGCCTTAAATGTCCTTGGGAGGACCAACAGGGCAGTATCAGCAGCAACAGGTAACAATGACAGAACTTGGAAGAACATATAGGCGCATATATATATAGAGATGGATGTATGGGATTGGCACATTAGGGCTAGGAACAATAAAGAGAACACAGAAAATGGGGATTTAGGAAACGTGAGGGAGTTTGAGGATGGCTAGCAGTGACATCTGCTGGTCAAACCGGAATAGACAGAAACCGATCATGCCAATGGTAGTTAGTGTAGTGCAGGAGTGGGAGATTCCATAATTGAAGCAGAAATCTGTGTGAGATGCACAAATGAAAAATGAAAAAAATACCTCAAACGTCACAGAATGACACTATGATTAAATCAGTTCAGGGAGCAATGTCATGACAATAATAATAATTATTAACATAAAGAAAGAATGAATAATAAATAAAGTCTCCACTCCTGAAAAAACATCTTAAACTCTTAAAATAAAGGTCTTTCAAGAGTCCTTTTATGACCACCACCAACCATCCTGTCTGGTGCATACTTAAAATATTTTGCATGGTCTGCATTACTTTTGTGTAGTCTGGTGATGACACCATCTAAAGATGAAAAACAAACCACAGGTTAGATCATCATCTAAAAATACTGTACCTTTCAGCCCATGTTGTTTCCAACCATTTTCCAAAGCAGTACCAAACTTGTTTCTTCGTGTTCTGAACAAATCTCTCCGAATTAAAAAAAAAAAACTTTTGAAAAATGTACTTCATTTAATCTGTTTGTTATGAGGTACCATGAGTTTGTCCACACAGAGCAACTAAACACACAAAATAAATTTGATTAAATTTTGGGTGTTTTATTTTACATTTGCACACCCATGAGGCACACCCATCCACACACTCCTGGATGATGCGACAGCAGCCATTCTGCACCAGTATGCTCACCACACAGTAGTTAAGGTGGTGAATAGGCAGGAGAAAAATCACGAGTTAGATATAGGGGATGATTAGGGGGCTATGTAATAGGGCCACAGTGGGCAATTTTAGCCAGGACATCAGGGTACCACCCCTTTTCTTTTGAAGGATACTCAGGGATCTTTTACATTCTCAGAGAGTCAGGACCTCAGTTTTACATTTCATCTGAAGGACAGCACCATTTTTACAGCCCAGTGTCCCCATCACTGCACAGGGGTATTGTATAAAATTGACTTCAGGTACATGCCCAATCATCTCTCTCTCTCTCTCTCTCTCTCTCTCTCTCTTTCTCTCTATTACACACACACACACACACACAGTCATGTAATCATATCTTTTTGTGGACCGCTCATTCATTTCTATGGGAAACTTAGAACTGTAACCCCTACCCAGCCCTAATCATAACCATAAGTAACCAAACAAAATACAAAAGTTTTTGCATTTTTAGTCTTTTCATTGCAGTCAAAGTTTTTTATAAAATAGAGATTTCCCATATGGGGATCAGGAAACTGCTATGTAATTGTTTTCTTGCAATTTGAGGGATACATATTGGGTAATTCCTGATATAAGCACACCATGATTGGTTGCTATGTAGCCCTTTTCCTGCAGTTTGAGGTATAAATATTGTGTTTTATGGGTGTCCTGATATTTTATTTCAGAGAGGCACAATGACCAAATGGTTTACTGCTTGATTGTATATTGGATCATGATTCTGATGAGGAAGAAAGAGGCCTGGGCCATACTGAGTCAGGAAAAGAAGCTGAAGAGGAAGTGTCTGAAATTGAAGACAACACTAACTATGATCCAGAACATGAAACAGTTGATGATGATTGTTTTTACCTCATGTACTCTTGGTGAGGAGCTGCTCATGAAAAGTGACAATGGTGGGGACAATCCGAAAAAACAAGCCTGAGCTCCCTTCATTGCATTTAGCATCAAAAGATAGGGATCAATTCTCTTCAAAATTTACCTTCACAGATACACACAACCTTTTGTCATACTGCACAAAGAAATGCAAAAAATGTTCTTTTTATGAACGCACAGCATAATGATACCACTGTAAGCAACAGGGAGGACAAGACACCCAATGTAAACCTGGATTACAACCTCAACAAAGGAGGTGTCGGCAATCTTGATAAGGTATTTTACTATTTTTTACCTTCTTTCATGATTTACTTGTGTGGAAGTAGAATTGGACATTGGTAGGCCCGGGAGGGGAGGCATATTGGGTCTGTTATGTCTTAGTCCTTAGGCAAGAAGAGATTGTTTTGAATACTGTGTGACCTCGCTTTGTGATAGCTACCTGCAGTTAGTTCCGCAGACCCTGAAGAAAGCTCGGACCTTGGAGAGGCAGACCACGGAGCAAAGGGGGGGAGAATCCACTTGCAGGAGGAGACTTGAAGCTGCCCCAACAGGTGCACAAAGAATTATGGCTTAATAAAATAGTTGCAGTAGACAATATATAATATGTTATGCAATTGATCACATAAGTAATCATGTTAATCATACTAATGTTAATCATACTAATCATATGTTAACCATGTATTTGCAGTGATTCAGGGACAATACGTCAATGTGTTAATCATTAAAGTGTCTGGACAGTAAACCACAATTTACAAAGTAAATTTAACCCTTTATAAAGCATTACAATCCTTAACCTACAATACATCTCACATGACTTTAGTGATTGGTAAAATCAGACACAGAAGACTTACCTGTTAAGTCACACTGCGAAACATCCATATTACACATGAACAAGCTTCACCTTCAAAACTAACTGACAAATGTTTCTCACATGTATTCCAATTTTTCCTGTCACTATAATGCAATTTATTAGAATTGCTACAAATTACTCATCCCACTGATAAAAATATACCTTTGCTCCTTAAAATCAATATCATGGCCATTTACCAAATTGGGCAAAAGCACCTCTGTCACTACATATTCAATGTGCCGTTTTATGAACAACTCTTTTGTATTAAAATTAATATTTTAAAATTAATTTCAGGAAGCACTTCTTCACACAGCATGTACTTAGAGTATGGAATAGTCTTCCTGCTACTATAGCACACGCTAAAACCTTGGGTTCCTTTAAATCAGAGCAAGATGAGATTAACAACTAACATACTAAGCAGTACCACAATTACCTATACAATACTATGCTTCTATTCCTATAGCAAATTGATGTAGTGGCAATGCTGACTTCTCTAAGTGCACAAAGCATACCGTTTATCACTTTTTCCTCTGAAATATGTTACTCCAGCAGAAATCTGTAGAGGAAAATGACAGACGACTTTCATAGCATCAACATTTCTCAATAGTCAGTCTTTATTGAACACCATGTTGATACACCTTCCACGGTCATTCTGAAACATAATTGGTGGTACACATCAGCTTCAAAAAATTCACCTTTGATCCCTCTCATGTCAGAGCTCTTCAAAATCTATAAAGACAAGATGCATCAGTTAATAACTGACATGTGCACACATTTCATTAGTATATACAAGATAGTGATAAACTTAATACACAGACACATTTTTCACTGTAACATTCCTAGCAGTCCGTTAGTATTAAGTTTGTTTCTTAAATTTGTTTTGTGGATGCTGCGAGTCTATTTAGTATTGGTATTAAAGCCGTAGTGTTGAGATTAATGGATGTAGTTGACGAGCCATCAAATATGGAACTCCAAAGTGTTCAAAAGTATTATGAAATATATGAGAATGATATTGTGAAATACAGTTCATTATTGTGAAATATATTGCATTCTGTTATATAAATTTACTTATTATTGTGAAATATGATTTCATATTTTTATTTTTCAAAGTCAGTATTTATTTCATAGCCGTATTTCATCATTTCATGAAATTTCTTCGTCTGTCAATCAAGAGAGACAGGGTGGAGCCGTACAGGTGTGACGTTTATGAAGGACATGGCTGCAGAAAACAAGTCAGTTTCTGAGTTACTCAGAGAAGTTGCTAACCGCTTAGATTGCATGTCTTCGCCTCAGCCTGAGAGAGTGTTGCAGGAGCAGCGTACTGGTGATGAAGCTGTTCCTGGTCCAAGTTCACATCACAACAGCACAGCGTTAACGTTACCAAATGCTATCACAGCTAGCTCCACTCCTCGGAACGCTGTTCAGGGTAAGTAACGATATGTTATTTCTGCTTGGTTAGTCTCTCTGTCTGCTCAAAACGAGCTTTTCAATCAGTTCAGTCAGCCGTTTTTATCATAGCAAAAAAACTCGGCAGGTAGAGAACATAATTGTCTTCTGGGTTAGCCATTTGGACGACCAACGTATTGCTCTGTGTAACGTCTATCATTTTCACGTTGTTGTAGGTAGTAGTTTCTCAGTGGGTATAATGATTGTAAATAAAATTGCAATTGATTTAAGCTGTTTAAAAGGGGAAAAGCAAAATATAAAAAACATTTAAAGCTGAAGTCACAAGATTGTTTGCCCCTTACAGAGGGAGGCCTTCCTCAACACCACTTTCATCTCTGATCCATAAATCTTCCAAGAAAGCATGCCACGCTGTTTACACACACACACCTTCTTCTGCTTAAATTATCATATGTCAGACACAGTGCCAGCCAAAGCAGTCAGATTTAATCTAGCAGCAGCTGGACTTGGGGAAAAACGGATTACATTCCAAGGTGATGCTACATGTCATATGTAAAGATTTAGTTTAACTATTTTTTACTGTTAATGTGTACCTTTATTGTAGTAATATACAGTAAGGACTGTGTTTTACAGGAAGGAATGATGATCCAGAAATGGTAAAGGCGAAGATTGAGGATACCTTCCCTCAGCTAAAAGACACAGGAGGGTTTGAACTGCTGAGAATCTCTGGTACAACACGAAGCCGTAAACTATACACAATCCCAAGCCCAGATACTGGATACACAGTGGAATATCTCCGCAGCCCATTGAGTGGAATTGGACAAGCATTGATCTATATAAGGCCACTGCAGAAAAGTCTTGCTTTGGACGACGTGAGTAATGACTTGATTCAGAATTTATTTGCATGTAATAATAAAGTAGTTCAAATGGCTAGCTCAGATCAACTGTGTGTCACATTACTTTAGCTGTTAGGTGGTTAGAAGCATGACTGCATATGAGTAATAATGTTTCTGAATGTGTATATAAGCAATTGTTATAAGAGGTTTCCGTATCATAGCTTAGGAGGTGAAATGTCAGTTTGTGTGCACAATTTGTTTCTGCTGCCCACATGTTGGCAAATCACATTGCAGAACTGTCAAAATTATTATTTTTTTTATCACATTATACACCAAATGTATATTATGTTATCTTTTCCATATTGTTTGTATACCCTGATAAAGACAATGAGCTAAAATGCATTGGTCTTACAATAATGCCGTTCTGCAATCTGCAAGATTTGATTTCTCAAGTCAAGTCTCAAGTCTCGTTTATTTATATAGCCCTTTCAACCACAACGTAGACCAAAGGACTGTACATCCGAAAAGAAATGAAAATAGAAGTCATAAAAACAAACAGACACATAACATGCAATAACAAATTCAAGAATTAAAAGCCACAGAATACAAATACGTTTTCACACGAACTTTAAAAACATCGACTGTTGGAGCAGATCTAATATCAGGGGGAAGCGCATTCCACAGTCTAGGGCCAACTACTGAGAAAGCTTGATCCCCTTTAGTTTTAAGACGTGTTCTTGGAACAAAGAGCAGTAAACAATTAGAAGACCTTTGTGATCTACCAGTGTTCATAAGCACCAAGTCCTTGATATATTCCGGGGCCAAGCCATGAACAGCTTTATAAACATACAACAACACCTTATATTGTATACGAAATTTTAACGGCAACCAATGAAGCCGTTCTAAAACGGGTGTAATATGCTCCCTTTTCTTAGTACCAGTTAGTAGTCTCGTGGCAGCATTTTGAACCAGCTGCAATTTTGAAATAAGAGACTGACTAAGTCCTACATAAAGAGCATTACAATAATCCAATCGGGAAGAGATAAAAGCATGAATCACTATTTCAAGATCGGCAACAGACAAAAATGATTTAATTTTCGCAATGATCCTCAACTGATAAAAACAATTTTTAACCACATTTTTAACCTGATGGTCAAACATAAGAGCGGAGTAAAAAATGACACCTAAATTTCGTATTTTAGGACGAACATTTGATTCCCATGTACCTAACAAATCGGTTAAACCACTGTCATCCTTATTCATCCCAAAAACCATAACTTCAGACTTGCTAGCATTTAACTGCAGGCAATTTTGCTCTAACCAGGTATTTCTGGAGATTTGATTCTTTCAGTTTTTCACTCATCCATTCACCTTGACAGTAGGTGAAATGTATGCTTTGTTCCTCACTGTCTGTAGAGCCTGACAACTCTCCAGCAACAAGGACCACTCACAAAATGCCTGAATTGTGACACTAACATTCCTTTAAATAAAATGAAAAACCACATCACTGAATGCACAAGGTAGGAAAAATCATTGAATTTTTCATTTTTTAGTAAATCCACTTTATATATTAGTGATGGATGCTGAAATCTCTGCTAATTCCTCTCACAGTTCATTGAGTGGTGCTGAACCTTAGTCTGTTACTGAAAGTCAGGTGAGGCAGACCCGTAGTTCCACAGCAGAGGTCCCATCCTGTAACAATAGTGATGCCTTGAAGCTGTCCAGCGGGGTAGAGGAACCAGATGTTATCATATTGGACTCCACCATAGTCTCAGCAAGAGCAGAGCAATTGTCAGTTGAAATGGGAGTGCAGAAACATGCAGCATCTCATCAAGATGAAGAAAAGTCACTTGTAGGGGAAAAACCAGGTAGTCCATAGCACAGGAATAAAGTTAGGAAAATACCAGACAAATGGCAATGAATTACATATTCAACTAGGATTAAATCTATTTCGCTTGATTTATGTGATCCATGCAAATGGGTCTTTCAGAGTGGAAATGTGAAAATGATGCAACTAGAGCAGACTAGCCCTACAAGTCCGGCTTGCTTTCAAAGTATGAGACCAGAAAGGCAGTAGTCCTGCAAAAGGACTTGCGGGAAAGTATTACGGATCAACAGAGATCCCTCATCTCCTTCTACAAAGGGCAAGCCCTATCAGCTGCAAACTGGAAGGGTCTGTCTCTGTATTGGGAAAATAATAGAGATCCAGTCATTGTTTGGCTGACTTCATGACTTCATGTTTTTTTTCTTCCTTTAGGGGATGTTGCTGTTGGAGAGGGGGTGAAGAGATTCTTCTTCTCAAAGGCAGTTTCTCTAGTACAGTCTGGTTTTCATTTTTATTTTGGTATGTATTTTATAGTTAGACTTTAAAGAAAATATGTTATGTGTTTGTGATGTGAATGAGAGTTAATTGTGTGACTACTTGGATTTCTCATACGAAGATAACCTAGCTGTACTCTTTTCAGGGAACACAGATGTTACAAGACTGTTTGATGGTGAGCCAGATCACTTGACTCCATCCACTTCTCAGACCTTGCTTGAGAGTGACATGTTTTTGGTGGCAGTTAAGACAGTAATGTACAGAAATAAGAGAGAGTAATTCAAAATAATAATACACATGCAGCTGTAAAGGTAACAACATTACTTGTGTTACATTATTCTAATTGTAACTATAAAGACGAAAAGTAGATTGAATACAGATACAAGACACAGTAAAACAACATTTGAGTGTTCTATGGGTTTTCCTAAATAATCAGTGCACAAAGTTTGTTCTGACCTCTTGTGCAATGTTACACTAAGTGCATTTATTATGTTTGATCCTAGGAAGAATAATGGGGCATTCATTCATTCATGGTGGACCATGTGTGTCTGGTATAAGCCCTGCAATCATCCATGTTATTTTTGGTGGCTCACCTGAAACAGCTACAGTTCAGGTTGAGGATTGCCCTGATATTGATATCCGCAGCACTATTCAGCTGGTTTGCATTTTTGTGCCATTATTTTGAAGAATTACTATTTCACTAAATATTGAATTTAAAGACATGATTAAATAGCCATCACTACTACTGTTTACAATTTTTTTTCTCTGTCCTAGCTTGATGGCAGTGCTGAACTAACAGAACAGTAACAAAGAAATGTTCTCGAGCTGGCTCTGGCTTGGGACCTGCCAGGTGTCACACAAACCAACCGAAAGTGGCTGTATGAACGTCTACTATTCCACGCTGTAAGTACTGACTTACTCTCCCCAAGAAATTAAAATTTTAACTAGAAAAGCACATCAAAACTTCAGATGTGAATAAGTAGATTTTTCATATACATATAAAAAATCTCTTTGGATGCCATTTTGGTTTGGTCTCATTATTGTAGGTCATAACACGAACAAGCCATCAAGTCAAACAGCTGAGGAAAGGGCTTAAGAAGACCATGGTATGGCCGCTTCTGACAGAAAGATCAGACATCATTCCTCTTTTCTTACCAAGGGAATCAGAGACTGCTCCCTGTTGTGAGGTAAGGTCACATCGTTTAAATCTGAATAGTAAAGGTTTTTGGTTAATTTAT